TTTAATATAAAAAATTATAAAGATTAGTTAAAATTTAAATAATTTTTATTAGAAGTAATTATTAATTTTTATATTGATATATTAATCTTTTTGTATCAAATTATATTTATAATAATAAAATAATTTTTTTTATTTTTTATTTTACTTTATTTATTAATAATCATATACTAAATTTAATATTAAAAAATATTTAGCTTTATCAAAAGTATTAAATAGATTATTTATTTTGAATAAAGAAAATTGATCTTTTTTGATAACTTTATTTAGTTAATAATAATTTATACAAAATTTATATTTATTATTCTTTTTCTTTATTATTATTATAAGTATAAATTATGAATTATCAAATAATAAGATGATTTCTTATTATAATATTCTTTTAATTTCTTTTTCTATATATTTCTTTTTTATAATATAATTTTAAAGCTATTAATTCTTTAGTTTAATATTAATTTCATGTTAAATTATTTTTGTTTTATCTAGTTTATTATTAAATATATCTTTATATTCTTTTAATAATTTTTTTAATTATTATTTTTCTGATATTAATTTACTTATTTATAAAACTAGTTATCTTTATTATATTTATAATACCAAGTATCAAGTAATTATTAATATATGAATATTTATTCATACAGTAAGTTTATCTTTCTTTAATTCTTTAAAAGTAAAATAATAAAATTTCTTTTTTTCAAGTTATCTATAATAATCTTTAACTTGAATATTTATATAGTTATTATTTATTTATTACTTTTTCTTTAAATTCTCAAAAAAGATTAATTTTTATTAATAAGTTTTTTTATATTTATATTTACTTTTTAGCTTTATAAAACTTTTTTAAATTGAATTACAGTTAAGTGCACCCCTCTTGAAACCATAGTAAAAAAAATAAAAAGTGTGATTTAGAGAGGATGTGCATTTATAGAGGTCAAAATATACAGAGCTCTTATAAGCTGGGACCAGAATATACCGTGCATTTAGAGAAGAGTTATATAGTGCGTGCACTTAGGAGGCTACACTTAGAGAAGTGTAACTGTAATTAATTTTTCTGATAAAATCAAAGTCTCTTTAGATTTTTTATAAGTTAGGACTTGTTTCATTTTTGAAATTTTGATCAAAAATAAGAAAATTACATGTACTTATATTATCTTTTTATTTAATTAAATTATAGAATACAGCAATTTATTTATTTTAATAACTTTATGACATCATTTATCCAGTTTTAAATGTAAAACAATTAGCACTCTTCTTACACGTATCATCGCATTTAATCTTTGAATGTATTTGTTTGATAATAACGGAAATTAATTCTGTAAACGTGCATAAAGACTTCATTCGCTTAAACAAGTTGGCATTTCAGGTAATTTTATTAATTTAACGTTGTCGAACAGTATTTTGCAAAACGGATCATACAAATACTCGGGACTTTCATCTAATCACCAAATGCAACTCACAAATCCCTCAAATTTAAAATGGGACCACAAATTTAAAATCTTTGGGACGATATTTTTCACATTATCTTTGCGTGTTAAGGAATACTTGGAAAGTTCACGGTACCGTCGGGAAAAATTTTCTTCTCGATTGATTGTATCGTTGTTTGAGAACTTGCCGACGTACAATGACTCAAAAAGAAACGAAAGCAGGAATAGCTCGCCATTAAAGAATTATCAAAGATCAAAAAAGCAGATTTTATTTGTTAAGTAATAATCACTTAACAAGCTACTGATTTTTTAATATTTTTAGCTTTCCATTTAATATAACCACCGAATTGAAGACAGTAAATGTTATTTTCTTTCTAAATAATTAGAATCGTCAAAAAATTTTGCATTATTATTCTACACTCTATAACATCCACCATTTGACTGTATTAAAACGTTTGATGTTTTCCCAAATGATTTGAACTGTAACTTTTTCCATAAATGATTTTATTTAAAAGTGGGGCGGCATATGTGTATCAACTTCGTTCCACGAATTTTCAAATGGATTCAAGTCGGGGCAATTCAACAAAGTCATGTAATCAGTAAATCATTGCTTTGCTTTCTCTGACACATGTTTGGGATTACATTGTTTTGCTGGAATATGAATTCATTAGCTTTCAGCATTTTTTCATAAACCGTGTATTAATATAGACATCAATGTCCATTGTATCTTTTGATTGTTCACCAGATTTAGTCCAACACCATTTTTATTCGTACAGCCCAAATATTTGGAACTTGCTTTCATCAGAAAAAATTACATGTCACCAGTCCAACATCAGTATTTTTTCGCCCATGCCAGTCATTATTTTTATGTGTTTTTAGGTAAGATTTTTTCACTTGATACTCACAAATAAATCATTTCTTCAGAACATACATTATATGTTTTAATGGAAGTTTCAACGCCTAGTTCAGTTTGAAGCCTTGGATATGATCAATCGGATAGCATTCACTTATAATGATCTGAAAGAATATGTGCGGATTTTAGTTTCGAAATTTCCAGTCTTCATTTTTGCAGATACGATATACTGAGGTCAAGCCCACCTATTCTAATAATGCATCCTGGGAATGAATATCCTTCTTTTCAGAGGGTATATACTGTATTCTGGCAGGTTTTTCAAATGAAATTTGAGTGAAAAGTTGTTATAATTATGATTTATAATGTTGTTAATTAATGTATGAAAAAAAAAGCTTTTATATATTTATCTTTTTTGACTTTAAATCCCATCGAAAGCTAAAAAATTATTAGCTTGTAAAAGTTGAATTAAATGATTATGACGAGTTAATTCAAATTCGCCATTTGTTTCCTGCTTTTCGTTTCTTTTGCAAGTCACTGTATAATTGGAATGCATCTGTATTGATTCCGAATCAAGGTTGATCTGGAATTTTGAGTTAACTACTACGAAAGTATTTAAAAAACACATTTTTGAGTAATTAAGTTATTCAATATACCCCCTATACAGTCACACACTTCATACAGTCACAGGTTTCCCGAATGAAGCATAGGGAAATTTGATCTCCATATAATCACAACCTCTTTATAGTCACACTTTTGGTGTTTCCAAGGGTGTGATTATATGGAGGTATGACTGTATTTAAATCCTGAAGGTTGCTCAAACATAATTTAATAAACATTCCATATTTAACATTATTTTTACAATATTTCAATAAATATTTTCCTAGAACTGACTAATCTAGTCACTTTGCTATATGTTTACCTGAAATACATACAGTGACTCACATTTGAAATCGGACACAGAAAAAAATGGCGAGATTCCAATATCCCGCCATAAAATGTCGAGGAATATTTGGACAAAATGTTCAAGGTGTTGCTTCTTAAGGAAATATTAACAACAATAAAAATTACAAACGAAGGTTATTTATTTATACTTTCTTCTTTGGCTTCTATCACTTTCCTTAATTCGTTCTGACATTGATTCGATTAGCCTTTCGCAAAAATCAATGTCAATACTATTCCAAGCAATTTTTAGCTTTTCCCACAGTTCATTGGTATTAGAAAATGAGCCAGGAAGTCTTTGCAAGCTTATATCAACTTGATTTCAAATAGGAAAATAGGATTCAAGTCAGGCGACTGAGATGGCCAATCGAGAACTGCGAGCTCATTTTCGCGAAACCCTTTTTTTTGGAAAGATGTTTTCGGATCATTATCTTTGCTGGAAAAGAATTTCATCCTTTTCCAGCGTAATCTCCAAAAGTGAACCCTAGCAGATTTGTATTTAATATATTGACGTAGACATGCAACCACCATAATTGTTGGTGCAATATGTCAGTCTTCAAAGGTTCGTTATTTTGCTTCCAACAGTATTATCGCCCGTCTGAACAAAATATTTGGTATTTGCTTTCGTCAGACCAAATTATTCGTCACTAATTATCAAATGTCCAATCTCGATATTTCTTTGCCCAAGCAAGTTTGCGTTTTCTGTGTGCTTTTGCGAGTAGTGGCTTTTTGTGTTTTATTCTGGCGGATAATCCATGTCTTCTACGTATGCGCCGTACACTTTCCACAGATAAATTGACTTCTAAGTCATTTCGAAAGGTTGTGTGTTGAACTTCGACGGCAGTAGAACATTCTCCGGATGTTATCAAACTGATAACATTTCGTTCATATCGATTTGAAAGAGTGCGTGGACGGACAGATTTCGGTTTATTTTCAAAGCTTCCTGTTTCTTCTTTCTTCTTGCAGATGCGTATGGATTGAATCTGGGCTTACTTGTTCTGATGCTGCGATTTCTCGGACCGCGTATCCTTCTTTGGCGGAGTGCGTATATGCGAGAACGTTTTGATAGTGAAAATTTGTATAAATAAAATTGTTAAATATTGTTTCTAAAATGAGGAAAATGTATTATATATAAATAAAAAAATATAGGCTGTATATACTTAGCTTTTAAAGCCTTACGCTCGTCGTCGAATTCGGTCATATTATATCGCGCTCAAAGTTAAAAATTTATTCTGATCACATCGAACTATTAAAAACTATCGTTAACGGTGCTTGGCATTTTAATAAATGCAATTTAATTCTTTTTTGACCGTTCAATGGCGGGAAATTCGAATTTTTTTCCTCAAATGTGAGTCACTGTATAAGGAATCCCACTTATGAAACATCGTAATCGATCGATTATGTATTTAAAAATAAATTGATAGTTATTTTGCGCAACTGAATTAATAACGATTAATTTTTTCTCGTTCGCATAGAAATTTTGTAAAACAGGTTATTGTCAAGATACACATGTATTTTCACATAGCCTGGATTATTTGTAAGCTTTTCCTAAAGAATTTCGCAAGAAATGTTGATCTTATCCAGAAAAAGCTATATGCAAAGTATCAAATGGTATCCCATTTTTAGGTTGATAATTGTTTATACATGTATATAACGATAACGATAAGAATTGTTCAACTCAACTTTTACTTTTGTCGAACATATATTATTAATTGGATACCCAAATTTATTCATCTTGCTATATACACATTAGATACATCAGTCAAATAAACAAGAAAAGCAAAAAAATGGCATGGGCATCAACAAAATTAAAATTAAGCGTGGCAGAACCAATTTTATTTTTTCGTGGCACACAAGAAGAAGCGAATGGATGTTTTCTACGGGGGGACTTAATGTTACAACTTAGTAAACCATCAAAATTCAAAAAGATCGAGTTATCCTTTGATGGAGCAGCAGAGACTAGAATTCCAGAAGGTTGGTTTGTTGATTTGATAATTTGTAGACTTTATCATGAAGGGATAATCGATGTTAATGATATTTAATTCAAATATCAATAAAGGGGTTGTTAGTCGGCAAGGTGGAATTCTTGAAAAAAAAGAAATTATTTCTCACAAATGGACATTTTTGGCGCCGTTATCTTCGTCAGGATCATCATCTTCATCAGATCCACAAGAACAGTTAGAAGCACCAAAACCATCAAGATTTAAATTTCTGAATAAAAGGAAATCTTCAAAGAAGACTCAGACATCACATCTTCTTTCATCGGGTGTACATACTTATCCTTTTGAACTTTTTCTGCCGGGCAGCACACCAGAAACAATATCCACCGATTTCAGTATCGTAGCCTATAAATTATCAGCAAAAGCATTTCGTGCTGGCTTATTTCCCAACCTACAAATTTCCAACACCATAGAACTGGTACGAACTCAGACAGACCACGTGATCTCACAAGGAATCAACGTTTCACGTAACGTCGAAGGAATCTTCAACTACGAGATGACACTCCCAAAATCAGCATACACTCTTGGCAGCCGAATTCCCATCGACCTTAAGGTAATCCCACAAATCAAAAAATTTCGACTGTACAATGTCACTATAGAAATTCTCGAAAATCAAACATACAAATTCGACTCACGACAAAAATTCAACGGGAAACGAGTGGTTGTCACTTTGAAAAGCGACAAATTTGCCAGAACGCGATTGTCTGAGCAGGAGGATGAAGGTGATTTAGTGGGAAATATATCATATGAAAGGACATTGTCACTTCAGTTGCCAAAATGTGCGGGATTAGCCAGTTTTTCAGGTGATTCGCCGTTGGTGTCGGTTAGTCATCAATTACGAGTGACTTTTATGGTTGCTGCACCAAATTATACGAATAAACGATTGGCTATACGATTGGTATCACCGATTACTTTGCTCTCTTGTCGGTGTGTTGATGATCATTTGACATTACCGAAGTATGAGGAGGAGAGTTATTTTTGTCCTTGTGATCCGGAGTATCAACGACAAGCAAGATTAATATTGGGTGCTTCGGCATTTCCCGAGCAACCACCACCCACCGAAGATGATAATAGCCAACCACCGCCATCATATGAGAATATCATCGCAATGGATCGATTGGAAATGATGACTGATGATAATAATGCTGATACTTCAAGTAACCACGCAACAACATCAGCAACAGCGTCGTCGAATAATGATGTATCAATGGTAATAGAGATGATGGATGTCGACGACGAAGAAGATGATGACCGCCCATTAAGTTCTTTTGTTAACAGTAAACCTTTAGTTCCAGATAAAAGTGAAGTCGAAGATAATACTGTATGACTTAGTATAGTTTTCTATTTTATATAGGAAGATGTGTATTGTGACTTCGTCACAATATCTCGAAAAGGTATCACGCATATAAAAAAGGTCATTAGCAAAATGGCATAATTATTGATATGATATTTATGGTATCTTTTTAATATAATATGACACTTAAGTTCTTCATAATACTCATCTTCGCTACAATAATACCCTCTTCGTCATAATGTCCCCCCTCCCCCTTTCCCTTATTATATGAGCACGCTATTTGCTTGTACAATTTCTAATTCTGGCCAAAGTTAATGCGTTGATGTATTGTATATTAATATGTACAAGTTTTATTATTTTTAGCTAAAATCCCATTTCGTATTTTATAAAAACATTAAATGTAAATTTTATAAATAATTTTATTTACAACTTTATTTAGAACTATTTCTGTTTAATCATAATAAAACTAGGATTTGGAATAGAAAATATTCAAATCAATTTATGATCAAAAACAAGAGAATTCTTAATTTATAATGTAAATAAAATAATCATACATGTACGTATTTTAAATAAAAATGAAATATTTGGATGATGTTCATTGAATGGATTAAAGGTTTACGAGTACATGTATCAATGGTAGCACACAAAGTAAATGATTCTTGCAAAAAATCATAATATTAAAAACTTTATGTATTATTTATTTGATTTTTTTTAGATCAATGACTATTACAAAAATTATTGAATGCATTTAAGTACAGAGAAACCTCGATGCATCCCCGGGAACCATAGTAAAGAAAGGCAGAGTGTGCATTTAGGGAAGTTTCTCTGTATGAAGTTTCTGAACAATATCTTATTTTTATCAACGTTAATAGATTAGAAAGTTAAAAATATATTGTTTATTAATCCAATTGATTTAGTTCAATTCATGATTTTTTTTGTCTATATAAATTCAAATAAAGAATTAATGACCAAATTTGCGAATAGAGCCTGACAAACATTTTAATTTGACCAGCATTTCAAAGTTCATTTAACTTTTAATAATTACGTATTAATGTTATACATGTACAATAAATAGATCGACACAAAATTCATTGTAACGGTAAATAAAATCACCGGACACACGTTCATGTTAACACAAAAGTAAAGCATTAACAATGGGGGAGAGAAATTAATGTATTATTGCCAAACTTGGACGATAATAGAAAAATTTAAGCCAACAGGTCACACAATACTATAAACAATGGAACAATTCTAATAACCGATGGCAGAACAATGGTAACGATAGTACAATGGCATAAATACTACAATACCAACATTTTTTTTTAACTATTATGCTCTATATGTGTGGTTGAACAAAACCACGTTTCATAGAATTTTTTCTATAAATTCTTCCATTCGATCGCTTTTTTTTTACTTTGAGAAAATTGATTTGGTTAACAAAAGCATAAATAAATCCATATCATTGTTTTAAAGTTCATTTTCTACTCGATCCATTCTTTTATCCAACATCATCTAAACAGTAAAAATGGCAATTCTCGAAGAGTTAACCGATTCATATAGCAATAACTGGCTGTTAGCTTTAACAATCCTTTTTATAACTTACGTCATCAGATTCTATTACAAATACTTTACACGAGAAAGCCCATTGCCTGGTCCAATACCAATTCCAATCTTCGGTAATCTTCTTCACATGGGAAACGATCCCGTGAAATTTGCATTTGAGAACCAAAAGAAATACGGTGACATGTGGGAAGTTTATATGGCCTCCGAGAGAAATATTTATCTTGGTCGTCCTGATTTGATTGAAAAAATGATGAGTCCATCAACGAAAACTAGTTTTTTTCAAAAGGTTTAACATATTCTGAATTTTCATAATTTGTGATTCGTGCGCATTTTCGTTTACAAATTATTGAAATTATATTTTCGATATTTAGGGTTCGGGTCCAAAAAATGGACTGGTTGAATTAGGTCTTACAACAAAGGGAATCATTTGTAATGGGAATATGAAATCCTGGCAATTCAATCGTAGATTCCTCACGCATTCAATAATGTCACCAAACTTCTTGAAAGATTTTGTGCAAGAAACAAAATTACTATTTAATGAAATGGAAAGCTACTGGTCAATTCTTGGCACCGACTTTCAGATAGATTTGTCGCAATGGATGTTTCGTTTCACCACTGACACCATGTTAAAATCGACAACTGGAAAACCATTCCACTCTCTCCTATCATACTACAATACACTCACACCAACCAAAATAAAAGTTCCTGATATTTTGACAATAGAGCCTGAAGAATTCTTGCACTTGTTAAAGAATTGGTTTACCTTGCTTATGTATTTTCTTTTCTTCTCAAGTTTTATTCGTTTCTACCTTCCGGGATTTAGACAATTCACTCAAAAACTTTTGGCAAAGAATGACGAATTGGATGAGAAAGTATTAAAAATTATTGAGGATAGAAAAAAAGAGATTGAGAGTTCGCCTGAAACGCCTTTACAAAACGACATTCTGACGTCATTATTGATTACCAATACTCCTCGAGATGTAAATTACTCTCCTAAAGATGATGAAGATTCGAAACCGCTAGCGAATAATGAAATTAGACAAATAATGTTGGACGTTTTTGTTGCTGGCATTGACACGGTACTTTGTTTTTTCTCTTACTTATCATAGTCACTTCACATCAACATTAACCTTATCTTAATTTTATTTTTAGACTTCAAATTCATTTTGCTTCATAATTTACCATGTTTGTCAACATCCGGATGTAAAATCCCGCCTCTTGCAAGAAATCCATCAAATCTTTGGCACAGATCCACACACAATACAAAACGCAATAACTTACGAATCCCTCGACAAACTAATTTACGCCGAAGCAGTAATAAAAGAAGTAGCACGAGTCACACCAGTCGCACCTCTCCTATTCAAAGAGTTAGGTCGTGAAGAAACAATTGGTGGCTTAAAATTCAAACCTGGGACAATGTTTTGCGCACATCAACATGGAATGCACCTAAGCACACGATACTGGAAAGACCCCGAGAAATTTATACCGGAGCGATTTGTAAAGGGTAGCGAATTTGAGGCAAAGAATCTCGAAAAGAATGCGTATATTTCGTTCGGTAGTGGTATTCGTATATGTCCCGGAAGACATGTCGCCATGGCAGAATTGAAGGTTTTAATGGTGTTGTTGTTTGGCAAATATGATGTCCAATTGGTGAATCCTAAGTCCCCGTTAATGCATTCCCTTATGGTGCTTAATCAGTGTGATGAATTGAAGGTTTTTGTTCGGCCAAAAAAATAATTAGTTTCTTAAAGAATTGCTTTTTATTATATGTATTATATTATATGTATTATATATTATCCTTTATACACTAGACTTAACCAATGTTTTTCGATTTTTTCATTGGCTAAAATTAACGACCCATTGGACATTATTAGCCAATGAAAAATAACGAATGATTTTGTAAATCGTAAATATATTCTTGAATCCTTCTATTTTCTTTACTAAGGTTTTTCAATTATTCTCTAGCATCAACTTTGCTATATGTATCATATATTATTGCCTTGAAGTTATATAATTTAAATTATCATTTTGATAATCAAATAACGATAATACATTTGAATTTCGATATGTTTGATATCATAAAAATCAACTAGTTTCTAATTCTTCTTAAATATAAATATCCTATCAACTAAAGCTTGTAATTTTTAACTATTAAATAAATATAAATTCATTTGAATATTAGCTAATTAAAAATAAGAGCGAAAGTAACGATCTTTTTAAATTAATATGTTTAATAATCAAGCATACTTAATTGGAATACAATTATATTTCTATTATTATCATTATATCTTTCATAATTATTCAATTTGTGTTTTTCAATTATTAAATAATTATATTATAATATATTTTTTACAATTATAAGAATAATAATTATAGCGATTTGACTATATCTATTATTTGTTATAATTTGAATTTATAATTATGAATCAGATTACCGTATATCTCCGAATATAAGCAACCAAAAAATGCAAGATTTTGGCAGGGCAAAGAGAGGGCGGGGTTGCTTATATTCGAGTATAAATTTATTATGTTTTATAAATAATATTTTCAGAACCTCAGGTCTTAAAAAGAGGTGGTTGCTTATATTCGGAGATATACGGTTCGAATATTTTAATTCAAAGTTTTTGAATCAGATTCAATGTGAAATGATACAATTCAACATTTAGATTGTATCTTGTAATTAGAATAATTTTTATTATATTTATAACTTTACTTAAAATTATTTTATTTTAAAAATTAAAAATTCACTTATATATAATTAAAATATTTATTATAAATATTATTAGTAAAATCAAAAGTAATACAATATTATTAACTATAATTAATAAAAAACATTTTGATTTCTAATATATATCTTAGATCAATTTATAATTATTAATCAAGAAAGATAGAGATTTTGGATATGTAGGAATCTTAATATTTCGTGAGTTTGGCTGCTGGAATTTTGAATGCCATGATGTAAAATGGCATCCATTTTATAGATATTTGCAAATTAACTTAACTAGACAATATATCATATTCAAAAGGTATTATCCCAAATAATAATTGGATTTATTAATTCTAGCAACCTGAATTGCTCCATTGGTTTAGTTTAAAATTATATTATAAACCAGATTATTCTATTGGCACAATCCAAATCAGAGCTCGGGTTGGATTTAATATAAGAATGGCTTTAAAGTATGCTACTTTAATTAATCCTGCATATATTATATATTTCGCATTTATACTAAAATAGATCACTTTTTACTAAATAAACATAGATTAAAATATAAGATAATAATAATTGAAAATATAAACTAAAAAATATTCATTAAATGTTGTATATCAATTTAGAATTTCAAAATAATTTGATTTTTTTTGCATGCAATCAGGAAGTATTACTTTATAAAAGTTTTGACTAACTGATCTATTCAAGACAGATTTATTAATTATATTAATTAATTTTTGAATTTAATTTCAAGTTTTTTTTT